TCTTGAAGTCACAGTGTCTAGGAGAAGGCCGATAGTGCGTCTGTTAGATACACCTATCGTGGATAAACGAAGGCCCTAGTGCGCGTTTATTCACAACCTGCGTATAGATAACAACACGATCCGTCATCATTGGTGCTTTCATTGAGAGGTGTTGATCGTGTGTTTATCTATCTATCTTTTTTTCTTTTTTTCGGTTTGCCTTTTGCTGAGGGACCGAATTTCTTTTATTTTTGGTTCGAAATTTTCGAATTTGCTATTCGAATTTTTCATTTATTTTTTCATGTCTTAAAAAAAAGTGTCATCTAGTCCTTTGATTGATTTTTGTTCGGTTATTACCTTTTGTTGAGGGGCCGAATTTCTCTTATTTTATTTTTTATTTTTGGTTCGAATTTTGTTCGAATTTTAGAGTAAAAAAAAAAGAGATTTATGATGTCAAACCGTGAGAGAATTCAAGCGTTGGAAGACAATATGAAGAGCATCAGCGATGGTCAACATGCTACCAACGAGAACTTGGGAAGGATCGAACTGATGGTCCAGGACTTGGCCGGGCAGCTTACGCGCATGAACACACGACCAAGGAGGCGCCACGGGTCGCGGTCCACGGCAGCAAGCACCGGGACCGAACACGAGGACGATCACCGATCGAGGGGCACACGCATCGCGTGCGGATCATCACCACGATGATCGGCGACGGTATGACGGACGCGCACATCATGACCGAAGGCGCGAGGAGGACGACGACTGGCGATCATACGCATCGTACGCGTCGCATGCGACACATGACGAGCGGAGGCCACACCGCGATAGCCGATGGCGCGACGCACGGCGACACGGGGGATGCCACGATCGCGATGAACAAGTGGACGAAAGGGCCAGTACACGACCAAAAATTGTCATGCCCACGTTCACGGGGACAGATCCGGACGCATGGTTGAGTCGAGCAGTGCAGTTTTTTGAAATCAATGATGTGCCACGGTATGAGAGAGTTCAAATTGCTGCTTATCATCTTGATGGGGAAGCAAACGTATGGTGGCAATGGGTGATGCACAAGAACCAAGGTGAGCACATG